ATCCGTTCATGTACAGCAGCCCAAACTCGAGTTAGGTAGATCCAACTTCTTACTAGTTTGTGGGTAGATCCAACTTGAGTTCACTCGAGTTGCTAACTCTAGTTGACCCATCACTAATCTATGATTTGTGGTAGGCCTGGGTCGTATCGCGTTTTCAAAGAATCGTATCTATATCAGATTTTGAATCTCAATATGTGATATCAAAACTAAATCAGCAAGGAATCCACATATATGCAATAAATAAAACCACAAGTAATACTAGTCCATAGAAGTGTAGAAAAATTAAATATTAAATTAAGACTCGAAAAATAAAAAAGTGAAATTTTCAAACAAAATAAATATTAAATTCAGTAAAAGTAAACAGTCTGTTTTGATTGCGTACCTTTACCCTTTGGAAGAGTGGCAACGTTGCATACGGGTGGTATGGCGGTTGAAGGCCGGCAGTGTTATTGTGGGCACGCCCTTTGATTCGTTTGATTAAACTGTTTAGGTATTTTTGCCGCCACTTTTTTATTTCGCGATAATGGAACTAAACAAATTAAATGTTATTACATAATAGTTGTAAAATTTAATGGAACCCTAAATTTTAAAATTTTCAAAATGTCCGCCACGTTCTTGAATGCACAAGTTACATCGCCGCATAATGTTGTTCTGAAGCCTGCTCAACAAATTTCGTTCAGGATCCAGAGCCAGAGCTTTTAATTTGTCAAAGGCGGCAACAATACGATTGCGCAGTTCATCTTCGAATTCGGAGATCTTGGAGTACAGTTAATTTTTAATAAAGCCCCATAAAAAGAAGTCTAGAGAAGTGAGGTCGGGCGACCGAGCTGGCCACCTACGAGGGCCTTAGCGTTCTATCCATTATTCGCCGAACAACGTGTTAAGCCGCTCTCTTGCGAGGAGTACGTAGTGTGGAGGAGCTCCATCTAACTGGAACCATATCCGCTCTTAAGCTGCCACAGACAATCCTTCTAAATATTCTGTTATTGGGCCGTTAAGCATATTGAGAAACTTCTGTGCATTTCCGTCAATAAAAACAGGGCCAATTATTTGATCTCCGTGAATGCCTGCCCAAACAATAATGGAAGTCGGTATTTATGAGCTGATTCCCTAAATAAATGGGGATTCGTATGGCTCCAGTGACGCATGCTTTGTCAGTTCCATGTGCCGTTTCGAGTAAACGTGCTTTCATCTGTCCAAAACACATACATTTTTCTAGTACCCAGTGGCAGTAAGACTCTCTAATTGCTTTATCATGGGGCAGCAGCGCCTGCACCTTAGCATATTTACAAGGACGTAGTTTGTTTCTTTTCAGCACTCGGTGTATTGTTCTATGCCTCACTTTAAACACACGCCCAGCTTGTCTAAGACTGCAGCTTGGATTCCGATCGAAATGGAAGACTCGTTATTCGAACGAGGGTGGGAAATGACGCGGAGTAACTCCTTCATGAGCGTTAAAAGAGAGGGAAAATCGGCACATAGTGCCCATACGCTGATTTTCCCTGATTCTTTGGACAACACTTAGGATTGTCCGGACGTTAGTAGGGCAGACACAAATTGCGCCGTATCTCTCACGATAAGTATGCAGAGTGAACGCTGAATTTTGGCGGCATTCGCCATACAATAAAACCATGTCTGTATACTCTGCAGCATTGTAAAAATGCTGTTGTCTTGGCATTTTGCGTCAACACACGTGTACACACAAAAGTCAAGTAGTATCAATATCACAGTGAAAAAAATAATAAAAATAAACGTACTTAAAGACACTAAGACCTAATAAGTGTTCATTGCACCGTAAAAAAAATTATTTAACGAATTGTATTTATCTTACGAAAAATAAATCACTTCAGGCGATGCGCGTAAGCAGCGAAACGCACCTGTATTCTCGAAGATTTGCGCCGTGAACTGAAAGCCAAACTTCCAAATTCCAAAATGGCGAAAATAATAAAAGTAATAAATAGGGCGGGTACAAGGTGCAATTATCGTTCCTCGATACTTTTCTTTTTAGACTTAACTTCCTTAACTACAAGACATTTGAATATAAGTAATTTTGATTTTTGATTTGATAACAATTGACAAGTTATTATTTGTTAAAAAAAAAGGTTATTTTTGTATAATTGAACTTACGAAACTACCATTTTGTGACATCCTAGGAAACGGGTAAGTAAGTATTACTATTTTAATTGGTTGTTTTTATGGGTTTTTAATCATGTCAAAATAATTTATTACACACTTAAAAAAAAAAACTTTAAAGTTTAGCTTTAAATACTTAGGTCGTAGTGTTTTTAGAATTATAATAACAGCATGATAATTCTAAAAACACTATGCCCTAAGTATTTAAAGCTAAACATTTTTTTTGTTTACCGATCATTTCTCCCTTTGAAAGGCGCTTATGGTCGATAACAGGTGTCCTACTCTACGACACCCGCTCACGCGCACTTGCCGCGTTGCCTTTGAAGAACGCCGCGTGCCTCTTGCCGCTTGTTTATGGACGCCGCCAAAAGACACCGCTGTCGACACGTCGTAATAGTTTGCACTGTGTGGCAACGTCACTTTTTAATGTTCAAAGATTCAAGTTCATTGAATCATTGACTTAGTGACCCAATATAGAATTGGGAGAGTTCAAATTTGCTTAAAATTAAAACTCTACTTTTTGACCTAATTACTAGACCGATTATGTTAATATTTACAATGTTGCATTAAGTAAAACAAATAAAAACACAATTATATTATTAAATATAATCCAATAAAATTAAAATAAACAAACGATTATTTATTAATTTTTCATCACATTAATAAACAACAAAAATTTTGTCTTCTTTCTAGAGCATTCGTTATAATTCTTGGTATGAGTAGCTCTAGAATTTTTCAAAAATATGCATTTATAAACTTGATTTATAATTTTGCATGGCAGAAACTCTTGAGTGCTGGTTGTTAAAATTATGATTAGAAGGCAGTATATATATATATATATATATATATATATATATATATATATATATATATATATATAATATGCCTTGTATATAATATATTTTAGTGGTATAAATAATAAGGTACAACTCTTAAACTATACTTAGATAGGTAATACCTATCTATTGTCAAAAACGTCTTTATTACATTATTTATGTCAATTAAATGGAAATTATTATTAATAAATTATTAATTTCTTAATTTATTTCCACATTATTGTTTATAACACCTTTATAAAAAGAATTAAGGGGGGACTAAATATCTCATTGGTAGGCATTTCCAGTCAGTTTTACAATTATTATTGCATAATAAATTATTCATTTGTATATTTAAGTTAGGACTTAAAATTATTTATTTATTTATTGTATTTAAATCTTTACTTGCATAAAACATGGTAGTACAGATGAAGTTCCTACATTTGTAAATGAGAATTTATGTTTAATCAATCTATCTATAATTAAATATTTTGTCATTGTCATGCAATCAAATTACACAAAGAAAATTAATATAAATTACAATAAACTTATTACAAGTCATAATAATACAGAATGATAACAGGGAAATTTGAAAATAAAAAGTCAAGAACCATAATAAATTAAGCAATGCTATTCAATTTTTAATACATACAAAACAATGTCAAAAATCATAATTACCAACAAGGTCAAACTTATATCACTTATGGGGATAAAACAAGACACAACAATAAATTATAACATTTTAAATATTTTATTTTAATTATATTATAAATTACATAAATTAAGCATATTTAGTCCGCCTAAAACAATGAGTCTCAAAATGTTTTGAGCATACACTGCTAAGTTTTGTTGGTTATGTATAATCACCAACAGTAGCGATTATCCAGCAATTACGGATAGCTGATTCTTTAGGAAAGCTGTAAAATAATATATTTAAAAGAAATTAATATATTAAATATATAGTACACTTTTATATCAAGGTATTTATAAAAAAATTCAAGTATGAGTATCTGTGCATAAATAAAATACCTATAACAATTAATACAATATCAATTGATTTAATTAAATAGCAGGTATATGTAAATGTAATTATGATATTATTCATACCAAACATTTAAAAAAATGTACATATTAAGCTTTAGATATTGTTAATTAATACATTTACAGCCTAACAAATGTCCTTCACAGCTGAACATAGACCTCCCACATAGTTTGTCTGCAAAATAACTGCAGTTGCCAATCCTCCTGCCAAGCTAGACAACAATCATAAAACCTATAACTTTTGACTTTTGATAATGACTAATAGTAACGGTAAATATATTATCATCAAATTTTTTCTACATCATTAATTGAGAATATTATCTTATGTTGTTGTGTTATTGTGTACCTTAAGATTAAGACTTATTTATTTATTTATTATTTTATGTATATTTATATAAGTGTGACATATTTAGTTATTTTTTAATAAATATTGTAATGTAATTGTATGATAGAATTAATGGAATACAATAAAGTTTTGTGCATGTGATTTCAGGCAATACATATTTTGTGAAATTAAATATACTTTGTCCAATACTTATGTACTTGAACCCAAACATGTTTTCAGGTTGAAAATTACAATTATTTGTGACATCTATTAAAATAGAAAATGATTGAAGAGTTGTATATTATTGCCCAATAAGGAGAGTTTCCTTTAAAACTGAACATAAAAGTGTATGCATATGTATAACATTATGTGATTTATATTTATGTACATAACTACTAATCACAATAATAATTATTACTGAACAATGGAAATACATTGTACTCGATGATATCCCTAAAGTTTCCATAATCCTACCAAGTCAAAAAGTACGTTTGTTATGACGTTAAGCTTTGCAATGACCATTCAAATTAAGGAGCATTATCATGAAGAATTTACAAGTTGGGAGTCGAAATATTTGACAAAATACATCACAAAGTTCATTAAAAACATGAAATGTTACACTCTATATTCAAAACAACAGATATTAATCAGTACAAATAGCGAATGTAAGCACAAAACAAACTTACCGATAAAAGGTAATATTATCAATTTTTCGTTGACTGATGCTATTGCATCCTAAAATGCTACAACTTACCATCTTTTTCACCTTACTTAATAACTAAAACCCACGAAAAACACTGAATTCAATTACCTGTTTGCTTATAATATTAATGATAATCACAAACGCTTGACATCGTTAATGTCAAATAAAGGAGGGAAAACAATCAAAAACGTATACTTAGAAAAAGACAAGAAATATTGTTTTGCTTCTCCATTACTCTTATGTCTAACTATATACGTGCATTCCTTTCACACGCAGATGACGTCACTGAATGTTTAGTCTAATATGATACTATGTTTATGTGATAACGTCTGTTGCAGTGTTGCCAACCGTACGATTTAAATCGTATTCATACGATCTTTTTGGCCCTAGTACTATGTACGATTATGTATTCGAAATCGTAAGCAAAATATACGATCTTTTCAAACCTTTATATAGTTTGTGGTATTATACTATTCTGTCAACTCGCCGCCGATTAAGGAATTCCCCGCGCAGTTTAACCGCCTTTCTTCGAGTTTGTGTTACGTCATTCTATTCGTCCTAACTCCTAATCCATGCACTAAAATAAAGTTGGCAACCCTGGTCTATTGATCACTGTTATGGCCTAAAGGTCTAGATATCAGGCCATAAACTGTTTAAAATGTTAGGCCGGCCACATACATACGGATTTCCGTTTCGGGATTCTGTTTCGATATTCCGATTCGGGATTCCGAACGCAGCAAGTCCAATAAAATCTATGACCGATTGTAATTGCGATTTCATTGTTGCTGTATCATTCTTACTAGGTGCATCCCCTTATCACACTAAGCTTGCAATATAGTCAATACTATGTAAAAAGATCTATTTATCTAGGGATATTTTTTATATATATATGTATGTAAATTCATTCGACGAATTATTAAATAAAATAAGATGAAAGGTTACGAAAAGCTATACACCTACAAGATTAAATGTAAAAACATACATAAATACACCTACTCGCTTCGGTCGTGCGACGAACACTGAGCGCATTCCGTACGGAATTTACGTATGTGTGTTGCGACTCGTACAAAATCTATGGAAGACGTGCGTTCGGAGCGGCTTTATTCCGTTCGGGATCCCGAACGCACAGGCGGTCATACGGAATCTCGAATCGGAGAAATTCAGTACGGAAAAATAACGTACTTGTGTGGCGGGTCATAGATTTTAGGCCGGCCATATACATACGGAGTTCCGTTTCGAGATTCCGTTTCGATATTCCGATTCGGAATCCCGAACGCAGCGAGTCCATATAAAATCTATGACCCGCCACACACGTACGGTAGTTTTCCGTTCGATATTTTGCGGGCGAAACGGGATTCCGTTTGTGTGTGGTCGACCGTTCGGAATTCCGAATCGGAATATCGAAACGGAATTCCGTATGTATGTGGCCGGCCTTCTGCGTTCGGTATTCCGAATCGGAATCTCGAAACGGAATTCCGCATGTATGTGGCGAGCCTTAGGCCCGCCACATACATACGGAATCCCGTTTCGAGATTCCGTTTCGGAATTCCGAACGATCGGCCACACACAAACGGAATCCCGTTTTGCCCGCAAAATATCGAACGGAAAACTACCGTACGTGTGTGGCGGGTCATAGATTTTATATGGACTTGCTGCGTTCGGGATTCCGAATCGGAATATCGAAACGAAATCTCGAAACGGAATTCCGTATGTATGTGGCCGGCCTTAATGTTGATTTAAAAATAAATAATAATAATTATATGAATTCCTTCCGCGCAAGTTATCTTAATTAAACAATAAATATATTGAATTAAGTATTGCCGACATAATGGGGGATAATTTTCAAAATAATAAAACCATGGCTTCGGTTATGATGGACTATGATTTTAAAGTAAAAACTCAAAATGAGCGATCTAAAGTTGAAGATCTCTTTGATTTTGAGGGATGTAAAGTTGGAAGAGGGACATATGGTCATGTTTATAAAGCTAGACGAAAAGATGGTTCCGATACTAAAGATTACGCACTAAAACAAATTGAAGGTACAGGACTCTCTATGTCGGCATGCAGAGAAATAGCTGTAAGTAGTTTTGTTGGAAGTAGTGTATCATCATCATCATTACAACAGTAGCAGCCTATCACAAATCCACTGCTGAACACAGCCTCCCCCAAGGAATGTCTCAAAGTATGATAACATAGGCTCATATTGTTGTGAGACAGCCTCCCCCAAGGAATGACTTAAAGTATGGTAACATATTATGCTCATATTGTTGTGAGGATATAACATAATAACTATTCATTAAATTTTCCATGTGGCATAACAGTTACAATGCTCAAGTGCAGGCTACACCATGAGCTACCTCACATAGATGTGGCGTTTTTTCATACTTAAAAGTAAAGCAACTACATAGCTATTGTTGTATCAGTTGATATTATTACAATTACTAATCACATTTAGGAGTTGGTAACATTCAAGTATATAGTTAATGACCTTGCATTTAGAGATTGTAATACTGCGAATCTATTGGAAGGTATATAAATTGAATGTTTTCAAACTCCCCGTGCTACAATTGCTGACACTGCCTGGATTATTAGCATATGTTCAGACTGGTAGATAGTATTTTGGATACCTAATGTCATTTTTAGAAGTATATTAGTCTTCTGAAAATCTTTCAGAACCTACCTGACTCAGTTTTAAATCCATTAGTGAAAATTGTGAGATCATGAGAGTTCTTGTTTTTAGATGGTTGTGGTCATATAAAACTGAATTTTATACTTTTTATCAAATATAACCTGCTTTAAAATCCTGTCACTCTTAGCTTGCAGGATAGGTATTTCTTCATGAACTTTATCTGAGGTACCAATGTGTGGAGATTGCTATTGTTCTAGAGGTTTAAGAATTTTAGTCTCACGGCTGACAGCAATGCCTCCTGTTGAATTAATAGGTCTAAAGGATTGTCTGGCATAGTTTTCAGACGTATAGTAGGTGTAGTTATTATGCAACCCATAGCACAGTAGGATTATTTATTAGAATTGGGCTCTTAACTTTCTGCCTACTTTTACTACTGTGCTTTTGAATCTTAACTTACTTATAATATGCACTAAGTTAGTATATGATATGATAATGTCGACATCTAGAGGTATATGAGTAAAAGGCAACATGGTGATGCTAGAATAAGAGATGGGTAGCAGCATCTTTTTTTTGACTACTGAAAAAATAGAAGTTCCTTTATGAGGGGATCTCTGGGGAGGCCTCACTTTAATTTGTCAATAAAATGTTACAGAATCTTAAGTTTCCAATGGGAAGCTTGCAAATTTTACTGGATTTAAAACTAAGTCACCTAAGTTATAGTTAAGCTATTTTTAATATGTGATGTGGTCCATACAATTTTATATATTTTATTAAGTCTGTTATCTATCTTATTTAACTAACTAACAACCTGAAATCTCATATTTGAGTTTAATTGAGCTATATTTTAAGTAGGTAACCTACTTATTTTGTATAACATAATTCAAACTTTTTCAGCTCTTGAGAGAACTAAAGCACCCAAATGTTATAAATCTCATTCGAGTGTTTCTCTCTCATACAGATAGAAAAGTTTGGTTGCTCTTTGATTATGCTGAACATGATTTATGGCATATCATCAAATTTCATAGAGCAGCAAAGGCCAATAAGAAATCAGTGATGGTACCCAAGGGTATGGTGAAAAGTTTATTGTATCAAATATTGGATGGAATACATTATTTACATTCAAACTGGGTGTTACACAGAGATTTGGTAAGAAAAGTAAAAATTGCAATATAGCCTATGTCATATGTTATTGAAATTCTAATGTTTACATCATTTTGTTAAAAACTTACAGAAACCAGCCAATATATTAGTAATGGGTGAAGGCCCTGAAAGGGGTCGTGTGAAAATAGCTGACATGGGCTTTGCAAGATTATTTAATGCTCCATTAAAACCCCTTGCTGACTTGGATCCAGTTGTTGTGACCTTTTGGTACAGAGCACCAGAGTTGTTGCTTGGTGCCAGACATTATACCAAAGCGATCGGTAAGACTGCCTGTTTTTGTTTATTAAACATGTTGTATGAGGGCTTCATAGTTATACTAGTTATGTTGCCAAAATTATGGAAAATAAATAAACTTCAAATCTATAATATAAAAATGAATCGCTGAAGGTGTTGCTAAGCGCAAATCTCGAGAGTAGCTGAACTGATTTTGCAAATTCTTTTTTTATAATATTCCTTGAAGTACGAAGATGGTTCTTACGGAGAGAAAAATTTAAAAAATTGCCTGAAAAAGTCTAAAAACAACACTTTTCTATATTCATATAATACTTTAAAGTCAATTTGAACTTTAATACCATATCATAAAGCTTAAGTGTTAGTGGAGGGGTTCCGGGAAGGCAAAACAGTTGAAGTGACGTTAGTATCGTATAAATATTAATGTCAATATTTGTCAAAATTTATAAGATGGTAAACATTACTCAAAAACAAAATTAGAATTCCGTGCAAAAAAATTGATATCCATGAAATCGTAGTAAAATCCATGCGGGCGAAGTCGCGGGGCACAGCTAGTCTATAATATAAAAATAAATATATAAAGTACGAAGAAATATAATAAAGTATGAAGATGGTTCTTACGGAGAGAAAAATTTAAAAAATTGCCTGAAAAAGTCTAAAAACAACACTTTTCTATATTCCCATACAAAAGATTCGTAATAATACTTTAAAGTCAATTTGAACTTTAATACCATATTATAAAGCTTAAGTGTTAGTGGAGGGGTTCCGGGAAGGCAAAACAGTTGAAGTGACGTTAGTATCGTATAAATATTAATGTCAATATTTGTCAAAATTTATAAGATGGTAAACATTACTCAAAAACAAAATTAGAATTCCGTGCAAAAAAATTGATATCCATGAAATCGTAGTAAAATCCACGCGGGCGAAGTCGCGGGGCACAGCTAGTCTATAATATAAAAATAAATATATAAAGTACGAAGAAATATAATAAAGTACGAAGATGGTTCTTACGGAGAGAAAAATTTAAAAAATTGCCTGAAAAAGTCTAAAAACAACACTTTTCTATATTCCCATACATAAGATTCGTAATAATACTTAAAAGTCAATTTGAACTTTAATACCATACCATAAAGTTTAAGTGTTAGTGGAAGGGTTCCGGGAAGGCAAAGCAATTGAGTGACATTAGTATCATATAAATATTAATGTCAATATTTGTCAATATTTATACACACAGGCAGCATATAGCTGATGTTATAAGGAGTTACTTGGGCTACTTTTATTTTAGAGTTCCGCGAAATTTAACTCCACGCGGGCGAAGTCGCGGGGAACAGCTAGTTGAAAATAAAAGTGAAAATTATTATGATGATTATTGTAACAATACTTTATAATCTTATGAATTTGAAAGAAAATGACATTTTTTTTAGGGTTCCGTACCTCAAAAGGAAAAAACGGAACCCTTATAGGATCACTTTGTTGTCCATCTGTCTGTCTGTCTGTCTGTCTGTCTGTCTGTCTGTCAAGACCCTTTTTCTCAGGAACGCGTGGAGGTATCAAGCTGAAATTTTAACAGTGGTGGAGCCAAGCGGTAGCTTTTGCTGTCGCACGGATGGGCCAGCTCGAACCGGGGTGGTACCACGACCTCACAGAATACCAGGGGGGGGGGGGGCAAAATTCCGCTCGCGACTAATGCTGCTCGGGGCAAGCGGAGCAATACAACCAAGGCGACCCCTGTCACGCTATCCGTGAATTTTTGCAACATCAGGGGACTTCATTCCAACCTTAACGCTGTCCATTACCATCTAGAGACGGCGAAGCCGGCCTTGCTCTTTTTAACCGAGACTCAGGTGTCCTCTCCGGCTGATACTTCATATCTCTCCTACCCGGGATACAAATTGGAACACTCCTTTGTGCCCCGGGCTGGAGTTTGTGTATACGTCAGAGAGGACATCTGTTTTCGACGCCTCGGCAGCCTTGAAGGTACGGACCTGTCCATCCTATGGCTGCGCGTAGACAGCGACGACCATCCCCGCGTCTACGGGTGCCTCTATAGGTCCCATAGCGGTAATGCCGACACAGACCGACTCATCGACCACGTCCGAATGGCTGCAGACTCCGTGCTACAACAGGTCCCATCCGCAGAGATCGTGATACTCGGTGATTTCAACGCCCACCACGCTGAATAGCTTGGTTCTCGTTTAACCGATCATGCGGGTAGATCTGTTTACGACTTTGCTTTGGCATATGGTCTAACACAACTGGTTACTTCGCCTACGCGGATCCCAGATGTGGAAGACCATGTACCTTCCCTGTTGGACCTTCTGCTGACCTCTCATCCGGACGGATATCAGGTCTCCGTCGATGCCCCTCTGGGCTCTTCGGACCATTGTCTGATCCGGAAAACGGTGCCACTCACGCTCCAATCGCAATTGCGATCTGCAGTTTGCCGCCGTGTTTGGCACTATAGGTCAGCTGATTGGGACGGGATGCGGTCTTTTTTTGCATCCTACCCTTGGGGGCGGGTTTGCTTCTCGCCGGAAGATCCCAGCGTTGTTGCCGAATCTGTTGCTGATGTGGTACTTCAGGGTATGGAACTTTTTATTCCATCCTCTATGGTGCCCATCGGAGGCAGATCCCAGCCATGGTTTGGTCGCTCTTGTAAAATAGCATCACGCTATAAGCAGGAGTGCTACCGGGCCTGGGCTGACGCATCAACGTCTCGGGATTTAAACACCAGCGCACTTAAAAAGAAGTATAATTCCGCCTCCAGGTCCTTCAAAAGCGTCATTGCCAAGGCAAGGTCTGAGCACATCGGCAGAATTGGCGAGAAGCTAGTTCGCCTTCCTTCGGGAACCCGTGCATTCTGGTCTCTCGCCAAGGCTGTCCAAGGGAACTTCTGTCAGCCATCCCTTCCATCTCTGCACAGAGAGGACGACTCACTGGACCATGCCGCAAAAGAGAAAGATGATCTGTTGTGCTCTCTTTTTGCGTCTAACTCGACTCTAGATGACGGGGGGAACACACCGCCGACCATCCCGCGATGTGAGTGCTCCATGCCGGATGTGCGATTTACACAGCGCTCGGTTCGCAAAGCACTCTTCTCCCTGGACGTCAACAAGTCGAGTGGGCCCGATGGAGTCCCTCCCATTGTGCTGAAGACGTGTGCTCCGGAGTTGGCACCGGTTTTAACGCGTCTTTTCCGGTACTCCTACTCCCAAGACGTAGTCCCGAATTCATGGAAGACAGCTTTGGTCCACCCGATCCCTAAAAAAGGAGACCGCTCAGACCAGTCCAACTACAGGCCTATTGCCAACACCTCCTTGTTCTCCAAAATAATGAAATCCATTATAAACTGCCAGCTCATGAGGTACCTTGAGGATCACCAGCTGATCAGTGACCGTCAGTACGGTTTTCGTCGGGGTCGATCAGCAGGTGATCTTCTAGTTTACTTAACTCATAGATGGGCGGAGGCAGTAGAGTCCAAGTGGGAGACATTGGCCGTTAGTTTGGACATAGCGAAGGCCTTCGATCGGGTCTGGCACAAGGCGCTTCTTTCGAAGCTTCCTTCCTATGGGCTTCCCGAGAAATTGTGCAAATGGATCACCAGTTTCCTTGCTGATCGGAGCATTAAGGTCGTAGTAGACGGTGCATGCTCTGATTTCAAGCCTATCAACGCTGGTGTTCCACAAGGCTGCGTGCTATCACCAACGCTGTTTCTCCTGCATATCAATGATATGTTGCTAACTGGTAGCATTCATTGCTATGCACACGACAGCACTGGGGATGCCTTATATACCGGCCGTGCCAATATTTCTCGGGAAAACGTCGCCGAGTACCGGGACAAACTTGTGTCTGAAGTCGAGTCTTTGCTTAACAAAGTCTCGAATTGGGGTCGACTAAATCTAGTCCAGTTCAATCCCCAGAAGACACAAGTTTGCGCGTTTACCGCTAAAAAGAACCCCTTTGTCGTATCTCCTCAGTTTCAAGGCACTCCCATTGCTGCCTCAGCCAGTATCGGAATCCTTGGCGTCGACATATCGAATAGCGTGCAGTTTCGTGGTCACTTGGAAGGGAAGGCCAAATTGGCCTCTAAAAAGCTTGGCGTGCTCAGCAGAGCGAGACGGTATTTCATGCCGGCACATCGCTTGCAACTTTACAAAGCGCAAGTTCGGCCCCACATGGAATACTGTTCTCATCTCTGGGCCGGGGCACCCCAGTGCCAGCTCCTTCCACTTGACCGCATCCAGCGCAGAGCGATTCCAATCGTCGACGACCGAGTTCTTTCCGATCGGCTCGATACACTGGCACTGCGTAGAGATGTTGCATCTCTTTGCGTATTTTATCGCATCTATCACGGGGAATGCTCTGAGGAATTGTTCGGACTAATTCCAGCTGCTCAATTTCACCATCGCACGTCGCGACAAAACTCGCGTTACCATCCATACCATCTGGATGATTGGCGGTCCACCACTGTGCGATTTCTTCAAGAAAGGCTGCAACGCTCTCTTGAAGAACTACAGGCTGAATTCCGTTCTGAGCCTCGTCTACGTGCTGTTTTCGAGAGTCATTGCAAATCGTCTCGCACGCAGACTTCCAGCCTCCCGAACAAGCGGGTTTCCGAAAAGTCTTTATCACCATAGCCCATACATACCCTTCGGAAAATTGTACAGAAGACCGAAGAGTACAGTCTGCCACTTGTATGCGGACTATGAGAAAGCCTTTGATTCCGTCCAAATTTGGGCGGTGCTGCAGTCCCTCCAGCGGTGCCAAGTGAACTGTCGGTATATTGAAGTGCTGAAGTGTTTGTGCAGTAGGGCTACGATGGCTGTCCGAGTACATAACCAGAGTACGAAACCTATCCAACTGCAGAGAGGTGTAAGACAGGTGACGTTATATCCCCGAAACTTTTCACCGCTGCATTGGAAGACGTTTTCAAGCTTCTGGACTGGAAAGGATACGGTATCAACATCAATGGCGAGTACATCACTCACCTTCGATTTGCCGACGATATAGTCCTTATGGCAGAATGGCTGGAGGACCTAAGCACTATGCTCAATGACGTCAATAGTGTTTCCCAACGGATAGGTCTTAAGATGAACATTGACAAAACAAAGATCATAATGTCCATGTCACACCTATGCTAGTAGTTGTTGAGAGCACTAAGCTCAAAGTTGTTGACGAGTATGTTTACCTGAGACAAATAGTCCGACTAGGTAAGTCCAACTTCGACCGAGAGGTCAATCGACGGATTCAACTCGGTTGGACATCGTTCGGGAAATTACGGCACATCTTCTCGTCAGGTATACCTCAAAACTTGAAAACGAGACTGTACAAACAGTGCGTGTTGCCAGTGATGACCTATGGAACTGAGACATGGTACTTCACTGCTGGCCGGATGAGGAAGCTCAAGGTCGCTCAGCGAGCTGTGGAGAGGGCTATGCTCGGAGTTTCTCTGCGTGATAAACTTAGAAATGAGGATATCCGCAGTAGAACCAGAGTGACCGACATAGCCCAATGTGATGCTGTGTGTATGGTGGAATTGGAAGGACATAGTTTATTATTAGCTTTTACTAGCAAGCAAAACCATCAATTCGGATCTCTACTGCCAACAACTAATGAGACTCAAGCAAGGAATTGAGAAAAAACATCTGTAATTGATCAACAGAAAAGGAGTGGTATTTTATCATGATAACACCAGACCTCACACATCTTTGGCCACTCAGCAAAAATTCTGAGAGCTTGGTTGGGAAGTGTTAATGCAGCCACCATAATATAGTCCTGACCTTCAGATTTTCACCTGTTTCAATCTCTTTAGAATTCTTTGGGTAGCGTTAGGTTAACATCGAGAGAGGACTGTCAAAACTACTTGTTGCATTTTTTTAATCAAAGATCCCAAGATTTCTACAGCAACGGGATTATGTCACTACCTACAAGTTACCACACAAAATGGCACATAAGTATATATTATAATTAAATGTAATTAAACTTTGAAAAACATGTCTTGAATTTGTGTATAAAATACAAAGAAACTTTTTACCCAATCATATTTGATTTATTATGATTGATTTATATGGAGATGGTTTTAAGTTTAATTACTAATCTGTGAATGTACTGATTAAAACTGGCCTGGATGCGATTATTGCAAAACTTGTTATCTTTACACTTTAAATTAAAGAGATTTTATATATGTTGCAACCAGATCGTAACTATAATAGTAGTAGTGGTCGATCATTTCGTAAAATGGTTGCATTTTATGAAATCTAGCACGGTTTGTTGGCCCCATCTTTGCTTGTTTGGCACCCTTATACTATAAAAAAAAAACAACACAATATTGTCATATCTTAAAATAGTTTCATTATTATTCACTGCTAGCTGTGCATATTTTTAACATAAACATCATTTGTAACAGAATCCACATCGCCTTATGTAATTTAAATATTATAGAAATTTTCGTGCCAATACTATCACTCATTATTAGATGGTATATTTTAGTTTTAGTATTTTGGTGTAGTTTTATAAAAGCATCATCATTGATAAAGCTTCAAGATCCGATCTCATTTGCAGCATCTGGGGTAACTTCAAATCCTACATAATCTAGGTTTCTGTAAAATACAAAGAGATATTCCTAGCTGCCGATTCCTTGACCTTTGGGGTGGTGTATTGCTGCTACAGGGATGCGTCAAATAAGGAAAGGTTCCCTAAATAGTGTAAAAAAATGTCTATGTAAAGAAATGCTAGAAATATATATTGTAAGAAACTATTCCACTTCTGATGTTAGAAATTCTGCTCTGCGCTTACGGCATGCAATAAAAGAACACTACTCGGTAACAAGCCCTGCTTACTGTCAGGACCCCAATTACACAATGATATCACCAAAGTATGCAAACCAACAGCATCACTATCCATCTCAATGTAACACAGGGCAGCCTCTCAGCAACACAACCTTCCTTGCCGACACTAGTAGAATACCCCAACAGGCATTGTAACGACAGTGGGTCTCTTAGAATTACAGACTGATGCCTCTTAGTTGCCTGCATTACTTTATACTGCTAAAACAAGTAGGAGATGACCATTCTACCTTCATTTGTTCGTATTTCCTTTTATTATTTTTTACCCTCGTTCCCAACAATATATATAGGTTAAGGTATATATTGGGCCATGGGCCAATGTACTTAATTTGGAAGTCCTTAATGCCAGAAATAAAGATATTGTATTGTATTGTCTCGACACTAGTGAGACCCCTAATCTTTTTTAGCATAGGCTGCAGAACTTGGTCTGCTTGCTAGTATGGATGTATGGGGGCCTCATTGAAGCTTTGCGTCGAGAGTGATGCCAAGAAAAACAGTCGATTCAATAGGGCTCAGTTCTTCCCCATTTAACATTCAATGTTGTAAATTTAATACATTTAGTTTTATTTCCGTTTAAATGTAGATTATTAACGTTAAATCAATGCACTAATTTGACTGAGATGACTACGAATGATTCAATTTGCTAATTTTAGTACGAAGCATTGATGATGTTCGTAAAGCCCACGCGAGCAAAGCCGCGGGTGAAAAGCTAGTCTCTCAATAACGAGAGGAGGTGTTTACATAGAAGTGAGATGTTATGTTAGTTGTAATTTTTATTTCGCTTACAGATATCTGGGCGATTGGCTGCATATTTGCTGAGCTCTTGACATCAGAGCCAATATTTCACTGTCGCCAAGAAGACATTAAAACCAGTAACCCATATCATCATGATCAGTTAGATAGAATATTCAATGTCATGGGATTCCCCCTAGAAAAAGATTGGGAGGATATTAGAAAAATGCCAGAACATGCTACATTAGTTAAAGATTTTAAAAGATCTAAGTAAGATATTGTTGTTTCATTTTTATTTTGTAAGTTTATTTTACATCAAACTGTGATATTTATTATAAAGCCTCATTCCTCTTTTTAAGATTATAATTTACAGTAAAAAAATTCATTATCATCATCATCGTTATATCCCACATCCATAGCTCAACACCACCTCCTCACTTCTGAAACGCCACCTCATAAATTGCCGCAAAAGGTTTTTAACCACCTGCATCCATTGAATCCATGCAGGTTTCATTAGGTCGTCAAATCACCTGGTGAGGCCATAACCGCAACTCGGTTGTTCGTTCTTCGAGTTATATTCGTTGCCACTGCAACCGGCTGATCCTCTAGGTTATGTCAGTTACTCTTGTTCCTTTATAGATAGCCTCGTTATGTATTTTATTACGCAGAGAAACTCCGAGCATAGCTTCTCATAGCATGCTGAGTGACTGAGCTTCCTTATTTGGCCAGCAATGAAGGATCACATTTCGTTTCTGTAAGTCGTCAGTGGTAATAATACGCACTGGTTGTACTCCTTGATTTTAATATTTTGAGGTAAATGAACAGTGGTAAATTTGCATTTATGGGTTAATCTCTTGATGGAAGTTGTATACTTGTCAACAACTTCAAGAGTTGCTCTCTACAACTACCAGTATTGTTGGTGTATCAGGTATTAGATACGGTTTTTGTCTTGCCCTTGTCTATGTTTATCTTAAGACCTACCAGATTGAAGCGATATTGAGGTTATTGAGCGAGGATCCTTCAGTGATCCTTCAGTAATGTTCAAAATATCTTCGAAAGATGTCTTCCAATGCAGCTACCTTTCTGAATAAGTTTCGTGCTCACGTCCTTTGCGCAGGTGGAGTTAGAGGCTGCGGATGAAAGCGGGAATGCCACTTCTGTATAACTTGCGCCAAAGCGAAGGCACGGAACAGGCTGGGTTCAGCATTGGAACGGATAAAAGCGGCATGCCGGTGCCGCGCGCTTGATTATAATTCACGACACCTCTTTCATACATTTAATATGAAAAAGTTTTGAAGTGGCACCATGCCGGCGCCGCGCCTTTGCCGTGCCCTCGCCTTATGTCGTTTCTATATAATTCTTCGATAGAGAATTTACAATTTAAAAAAAAAACCACTGCACTTCTACTTCACGCTTCCGGTGTAGCACCATTGTGAAGGAAGAAATTTAATAGTTTCTGAAGGACTAAGCATCGGTTTTCCCTCTTTCAGAAGCACCCGGCGCTGTGCTATCTTTAAGGTTCTGGATCTCATACTGATTAATTAATCTCATTCATAGTGATTGATGTCTGGGATATCAGTGTCGTATGATGCTATTTGTTCATTAATCACACTAGCCTGTGACTTCAACGACGAAGTATACAGCTGTCCGTAAGACTTAACCTCAATGCAAATGTCAGATCTTGCGGAAATTACGCTGCCGTAGTCATCGAATTTGTCAATTAACGTCTTGTACCAGACAGTCAATGTAGAAGACTGGAACCCTGGTTACTGTCAATCGCTTTTTCAATATGTGTTGTATTGAAACTACGTAAATTTTGGCACATATATTAAAAGATCAGTCTGTTCAATAATAGCCTGTAAGCTGACGTTTCAGACGAAGACTGCAGTCACATTTCCCATTTCATCATCATCATTACAGCCCTTCACAAGTCCACTGCCAAATATAGGCCTCCCCCAAGGAATGCCACAGAGCACGGTCCTGAGCCACCTGCATCCGTCGACTTCCTGCATGTCTTACCACGAGGCTGCCACTCGAGAACCTTTTTTCCCCATCGGTTGTCGTTTCTTTGAGCTATATGGCCGGTCATTGCCACTTCAGCTTACGTTTATAACGTATATAAAACCCGAGCATAGCCCTCTCCATAGCTCACTGAGCTACCTAGATCTTCCTCATATGGTCAGCAGTGAAGGATTTTTCCCATTTAGAATTCATGAAGTTAAGAGTGTTATCAGAGAGTTTTTGAGTTCTGCAATGATGGGTCTTGCAATATTTAGCTCCGATCACATGGATAGTTTTCACAAACTCATTACTGATTTCTTCCACAATATTGCATTGGAAATAATTTTGTATGGCTTCTGGAAACGGCTTTGTGTAACTTTGTGTGGTACGAGTTCATTTGCACTATTTAAAAAGTAAGGATAAGAGGGAATCACACATTGTAGACTTAATATTTTGGAAACTGAGCCTTCTTGCTAAATGTGTAAAAGCAGGTTATAGAAGGGCATAGAAGCAGCGCGATGTAGGTGACATTAGGATCCAGGGACTTTATTGTTGTTTGTGAAAAAAAGTTGGTAAAAAAATCTGTTATTATTGGGGATATTTCTATTATTTTAGGCTAGTCTCCTTTGAGACTGGCTACCGTGACCGAAATTCAGTCTGGGGGACATTATTATTATTATATATACATTATTATATATAATATAATAATATGTAACAAAATATAAAATCCCAAGTAGACGGAAAGCCTCGACAGGGGAGACCAATCGGCCGAGGGTTAGGTTAGAGAAAAATCTGCAGACCATACGACCGGATAAGACAACTTTTTTCCATCATGATTCATGACTGACACTTATTTTATGGAATTTTTTATTAATTCATTTCTGGGAATGTGACATAGTAGCGATAGTGAAGCAATGCTCTTGTAGGCCAACTTATCCTATTCCAATTTTAGTGAAGAGGCTCCCTATTTCCTGACACCATGGCATTATTATATTATCCGGTTCAGTGCGGGTGACACACCAGGCGTGCCATCGATTACTTTTGTGTGTGGCGTATGACGCGCGAGTCGTGTCTTTTTAAAAATCTTTATAACTCGCTCAAATTGCTTTTTTGGAAAATTTATCCAGAACAAAATATTCATTATATTGCGAGTAGTTCATGCATGCAGCTTCGTTTGTGGATATTTTGAAAATTTGAAATTTTTAGGGGTTGACAACGTTTTTTAAACGTGTACATGGTACTATTTTTACTTTGTGGGTTTTAAATCATGTTATGGAAAAATTGTCTAATAAGTAACAAATAATAGCACTCATTGCGATCGCTCACAAACTCAAGTTGTAAATAAATTTCTGGAAAACAAGTCTCCTGTTAAAAAAACAATGCGTTTGTCTTATTGTATAATTTTGCTTAAAATGGTTGAACTGCCGTCTTATTACTATCATATGGCTACGAAGTACCATGTGCTCTTGTGATATGGTATAAGGTTTATTTTTGCTTGAAACAGTTCGAAACCGTTCATGCATAAAAAAAGTTCGCTAATAAATAGTCTTTTGTCAATCCGCCGCCGTATAGCGCCGGCGTGTTTTTCCTTTTGAAAACACTTGTTTTGCTATTCTTACTAATGAGACGTTTTCAGATCGACTTTACTTTTACAGTTGTATAACATTAAATAATATTTAACATTTGTAAATATCAATAAATGATATACCTTTTTTTTCAATTTAAGGTTCTTCATTGTTTGATATTTACAAATGTTATTATTAGGTGAAAATTTAATTTAATAAAAACCAAGGTTTCCAAGGTGATTTACCTGTACGTACTTATATAAATGATTTTTTTATAACAACAAAAAATAGTACAAAAAGTGTAATCTCTTCATAAAAAAAGTCACTTTCTCTCAATTTCAAAGAAAACGCGTAAAAAAACACGTAGTTACCCACTAAAAACAAGTATCCTTCCATTTGTAACTTATGTTTGATGTCAAATAAACTTAATTAGGTCTAAACAAGTAAAAAAAAGCATAAAAAAGGCGCTTGACACGCCCGGCGTGTCGTGAAATATTTGTTCGCCGCCACAGCTAAAAGTTGTCGAAAATTGGTGCCGCAACGAATCGGTTAACTCATTCTAAGTTTATATTACACATTTCCTTAAATTTTCAGTTATCAGAATTGTTCACTAAGCAAGTACATGGACAGGCATAAAATCAAACCAGACAGCAAAGCGTTCAGTCTCTTACAAAGGCTGCTTCTAATGGATCCTAATAGAAGAATCACTTCAGAACAGGCCATGCAAGACCCATATTTTACTGAAGATCCATTACCCACACAGGTTAGTATAAACATGCGCCTCATATGCAATATGTACATGTTTTTTTGATTTCGTAACGGCGAATTCAAGGCGACATTTTCCGAACATACTCGGAAACTTTTAACTCTTTTAATTAATTCATGTATTAAGTCATGATACTTTGATTAATTAATTAAGTCATGTAGACTACGTGCAAACATAAACACTTATCTATTACCTAGCCGTAGCGTAAATATAACAAATATAACACAGAAGCATTGAATACATACAAACCTCAAAAACAAGATTTTGCGATTTTGCAAAAAACTCGTCCATACAATATTTGGTGGCAATATTCATTATAGACTTTTTATTGAGACTGGCGAAAATGTTCATTATATTGCATTGAAATAAAAGCTAGTTTTTAAAAATGTTTATTACTATTAATTTGTTTTAGTTATCGCTAGACATGGCCCTAAGTCTGTTCATTTCGTTTAATGTGTCAGGGTTTTTGATGACCATCTTAGATCCGCCATCTTGAATTTTTTTATCGGCGGCAGTAGCCCTGGTCGGCCCTTACAACATTTGTTCAAGCACCACCAAAATATTCCTAACCTTTAATAAGTGATAACTCTTTAAAATTGGTATCTTGTTTCACGCCATTTTGGTTTTTTTTCATCACCGCTCAAATCTGCCCTGGGTGTAGGTCGATATTAGTTAAGAAACAACCCGCTAAGTCTCACCGTTTAGCCTGGCAGTAGTATACCATCCCCTCAAAGAGCTAAACGCGAACGTTATTTTATTCATATTCTTCTCAGCGAACCCTTTCATTTCATATCCATATCATGAGGCTGAATAAAAAAACATAGTCCGCCATCTTTGGGAATCCACCATATTGGATTTACAGTGCCGTAATATTTTTGGATTCTTCTCAGCAAACTCTTTCATTTGGTACTTATATTATGGGATGCATAAAAAATAACTAGTCTGCCACTTTGGGAGGTTGGATTTAGAGTGACATCATTTTATTTTTCGTATTCTTCTCAGCAACCCCATCATTTATTACCCATATCATGGAAGTGTATAAAAAATAAGTCCGCCATCTTGCACGGTGCGCCATATTGAATTTAGAATGACGTCACTTAGGTACTTTTAAAATTCAGTTGCAAAATTTGACCTGAACAATTCGACCCCAAAACCGTATTCGGGGACTCTAAAAACTCCGGGGTAGCAAAATTACAGACCAATTGGAGCTACTAAGTTTTTCATCGCCAACATTTGACCCTTGTCGATGCCTACAACATTTGTTCGAGCACTGACATTGAAAAGGAAGAATAGTTTAATATTTTATTTCATTATCCTTCTCTGTCATTCCGCGATCTTTTTGACCTCCCCTCGTACTTTTACCTAGACATCAAATCCATATTATTCTTAACTTTACATTAACCACAGACATTGAATTATAAGATTAGTTTATTTTCTAATTGATTCACTTTAATTACATAACAAAAAATGGAATTAAATAATATATGGACTGTCGTCCGTTGGTCTTGCGTCGCGTCGGTGAGTCTTCTCGCTATGATTCCATATATTCTAAGGAGGATCCCTACAGATTTTAGTTGTTGAACTCAACATCTTTGAAAAGTTATTAATGAAAGTTGATCAGACTCTCTGTTTTTTAATTGTAATTTTTAACATATTAAGCGTGTAGGACGTGCAGTTTTTAATTTTCCAAATATTTTGAAGCTTTTATATATTATTATTTAATTAAGCCACCAAACCGCTAAGTCTTACCGTTTAGCTGGGCAGAGTTGCACACCATCTCCTAAAAGAGCCGAAAGCAGGAGTCATTTTATTTGTATTCTTCTCAACAAACGCTTTCATTTGATACCCATATCATGGATAGTGAATAGAAAATAACTAGTCCGCCATATTGGCCGGTGCGACGAATTAGATTTAGAATGACGTCACTTTGCTAATCTTGCATTGTCATCCAAACTAAGGAAGTATGTAAAATTTCAGCTCAGTTGGTTGAGGATAACTGCTTTACAAGATTTGACCCTAAGAAACACATTGCAAGTTAAATAATAGCTTTTAAAATACTATTTTCTTGATTTACAGGATGTGTTCGCCGGCTGTCCCATACCATATCCAAAGAGAGAGTTCTTAACCGACGATGACCAGGAAGATAAGAGTGATTCAAAAGCTCGACAAAATCAACAACAACAGCAGCCTAATGTGAGTTACTTTAGTACTAATCTAAATATATTATGACTTACGTAAATTCTAAAAAGCAAACCTTTTTATTTTGGTGCCGTAATAGCCATCGGCCGTGTTGAATCTTCTAGCAAGTTAGCGTTATACAAATTAAAAGGGAAATGACTGTGGAGTAATCTGTGTGAGGCCAAAAATTAATAAAAAAATAAAATATCCGTGCGCATACATACATGTGCATTTATATCTAAGTTAAAGTTAAAGTCAAAACTTTCATTCCTGTTCACAAAAACAAGACCTCAGAGAAGAACCGGCAAGATACCCTGGAATCTTCTAAAAGATATCACAACAAAGTAAACATAATAAAGACATACCAAAGTATTATGTATACTTAATTTGGCAATTAAGTATGTAGTTGTTTTATGTTTTTTGTTTATATATTTTCTGCCGACTTCCAAAAAGGAGACGGTACTCAATTTGACTGTATGTTTTTTTTATGTGTGTTACCTCATAACTTTTTACTCGGTGAATGTGTGGTTATTTGAAAGCTGGTACTTCTCGTGTGGTCCCATATGAATTTGATCAAGGTCAGACCAATAGTTTTTGAGTTATTCTTTATAACTTATATTGAAGTCGACTGCACAAAATTTTAAATTGTATACTTGCTTTCAATATTGTTAATATGTTTAGGTGTGCGCGCAAGCTTATAATTTTTATATAATGTTTTAATATGCATACTATTGGCGTGTGAATAAATAAAAAATGGACATGTGAAGCTGGCCAAACTGCACTTAAGAGGGAGGACTTCTCAGGTGTATTTCCTTTTTTCACGGGAAAATCCTACTTGCATTCTCTTTGTATCAGATAGCTCCTAAAAACATATATAGGTAGTATAATGCAGTTGTCATCACGTCTGCCACTGCTAACTGTGGCATGGCATGAATATAATACAAAATGATTTTATTTCAGACACAACAAAATCAAGTACAAGCCAATAGCCACGATCATGGTGCCAACAATGCAAAGAGAATGCGAATGCCAGGTATTATTTACTAATTAAGTCATAAACATCTCTTAGTAAGTAATTAAAATATTCAAAGAAAGTAATTAATTACGAGGGCTGCACTAAAAGTATCGGGAATGGAATATTTCCACTGTTCCTGTCATATTAAATTTTTTTAATTGAAAAGTCCTTGGTTTTAAAAATCGAATACCATTTATTTATTTAAAAAAATATTCTCGGTCTTGTCACACAAGGTTTTGTCAAACTTGTTTAGTCCTTGAGAAAATGGAATTGACTCGAGAAAATTCAAGAGCGATGATTTATTATGACTTTCGAAGTGGTTTAACACAAAAACAGTGTGTTGACAGGATGATTTCTGCAATTGGTGATGAAGCCCCATCCAAAACCACAATTTATCGCTGGTTTGCTGAATTTCAACGTGGACGTGTCAAGCTCAGTGATGATCCCCGTCAAGGTCGTCCAAAAACTGCAGTCACCCAAGAAAACGTTGATGCTGTGCGTAAGCTGATTGAGGAAGATCTACATGTGACATACCGCGAAATTCAGGCAACTTTAGACATTGGCATGAGTCAAATACAAATAATCTTGCATGAACAATTAGGTGTAAAAAAGTTGTTTTCCCGATGGATACCGCATTCGCTCTGTGAAGAGCAAAAAGCGGCTCGCGTTACTTGGTGCGTCAGAACTCTCGAAAGATTCCACGCAGGATCCTCAAATGCTGTATACAACATCGTATCAGGTGACGAATCCTGGATATACGCGTACGAACCCGAAACAAAAAACCAGTCACGATTTTGGGTGTTCGAAAATGAGTTAAAGCCAACAAAAATTGTTCGTTCACGGAGTGTTGCAAAAAAAATGGTGGCCACGTTTGTCTCCAAAACCGGCCATGTTACGACTATTCCTCTTGAGGGACAAAGAACGGTTAATGCAGAATGGTATGCTAGCATTTGTTTGCCACAGGTCGTTTCTGAACTCCGTAAAGAGAACTGCAACCGCCGCATCATCCTCCATCACGACAATGCGAGTTCTCACACCGCACACAGAACAAAAGAGTTTTTAGAGCAAGAAAACATAGAATTATTAGACCATCCGCCGTACAGCCCCGACCTAAGCCCTAATGATTTGTATACTTTCCCTAAAATAAAGAATAAATTGCATGGACAGAGATTTTCATCACCTGCAGAAGCTGTGGACGCCTACAAAACGGCCATTTTGGAGACCCCAACGTCCGAATGGAATGGTTGCTTCAATGATTGGTTCCATCGTATGGAAAAATGTGTCAAATTTCGCGGAGAATACTTCGAAAAGCAATAAATACATTTTTAAATAGTAATGTGTCACTTCCTTGATTCCCGAAATTTTCAGTGCCGCCCTGGTAAAAATCGGCTTACTAACACCGAAGGACGTTACGATGTGGTAAATGTTTTATTGCAAAATTCAAGATTTGTCGAATAATTACGTTATTTTTAGATAAGGTTCACTATTTGTTTAACTCTTCATTACTTCTTATAGCACTAGACTTTTAAAAAAGAAAGTTTTGTTTAACCATCCAGGCCTCGACATTAACCACCACCAACTTAGTCAAATCTATGGTCAAGCCAAAGAGTATAGTAGGCCAGGCCAAAGACATTTTTTTAAATGAAGGTAAATATAACTTAAAGAGTCATTACTATGCTCTTATCCAAAAATAAAAAAATATCAACAATTAAAATATCGTATTATTTGTATGAAGGTAAAGTGAACGCTAGAGAAACGACGGTTGCAAGACATTTTCCATAAATAAAATGTTTTGAGAAGTTAACAATTACCGTGTAGTGGCGGTGTATGAATATCCATATCATCCCGTGGATCTCGTAAGGGGCAAATAGACTTAGAGAAAAGTGTTATTTTTAAATTATCGTGACCGCGTCGTTCCGGTTATCAAAAAGTCACAATGAAAAATCGTCGTGAATTTGTCTTGTTGATAAAGTTGAATAACTACTTGGAATATTAGAACTACTTATAACGTGATTAATACTAAATCTAAAATGCGTATATAATGTGCATTTTAGATTTATTATTAGGTTTTATTTCAGTAGTCGATTTTTATTACCTTCCTTAACTAAGCTACGTGGCTATGTTATAAGTACCTTTCTAATAGTTATTTCTGAAATATAAGAATTTTACCTAACCTAGGCGATCAGTCAGTGTACCGTAACAAAGTAGATATAAGTTAGATTAATAACTAATTTTATTTTTAGAAAATTGTATTGATGTCGAACGTACATGACAGCTAAACCCGACTGTACGAACGAGACATTATGCAAAAAAACAGATACGAGTACAAAATTAAACATAAATCAAAATATTTATCTTTGTACTGACCAATTTCATTTTATATTTAATATTTTCCTACAAATATTTGTGTGTATTTTATTTAATTCTGACTTAAAGATTTAGACTGAATTGATGATTCCCATACCTAGCCTACATGATTAGAAACGAATGTTATTAGTTCGCCCAGCTATTGATGGGCAAGAGAATATATACCTAGTTAGTTCATAAGTATTGTCACAGAGTAAAAACTTTTCTTTTAGAATGCTGGCCACAAAAAAGTTTATTGAATTCGAATTTCGAATTGTTCATGAAAATAAAACTGTATACTTTTTAGAGTTTTACTCATTTTTAAATATGGAGTGGACGCTTAAAGAAGACCGTGTTGCAGTTATTGTGTTGCATTGTTGCGGTTACGCGCCAATTTAAATTTTTGACATACTTAAAAATTTGAATATAACCAAAAAATTCGTTTATCGTACCATCAAACGATACAATGAAGACTCTAGTGTAAATGACAGGTCAAGAAGTGGTCGCCCTCGGTCTGTTAGGACTCTAGCAGTGATAAAAGCTGTGAAGGCACGAATTCAAAGAAATCCCAAACGTAAGCAGAAACTGTTGGCCCTTCAGATGGGGTTAAGCAGAACCACGGTGAAAAGGGTGTTAAATGAAGACTTAGGGCTTCGGGCCTATCGAAGAAAAACAGGACATCGTTTGAATGCTCGTCTAATGGACCTGAGACTGAAGAGATGCCGCGCTTTGTTGAAACGGTACGCGGGGAAAAAATATCGGGAAATTCTTTTTTCGGATGAAAAAATTTTTACCGTAGAAGAGATTTACAACAAACAAAATGATAAAGTGTACGCACACAGTAGTGAAGAAGCGAGCAACCGTATTCCGCGTGTCCAACGAGGTCATTTTCCATCCTCGCTCAAGGTATGGTTGGGAGTTTCTTATTGGGGCTTAACAGAGGTACATTTTTGTTAGAAAGGTGTAAAAATGAACGCAGTTGTGTATCAAAATACAGTCCTGACGAACCTTGTGGAACCTGTTTCTCATACCATGTTCAATAACAGGCACTGGGTATTCCAACAAGATTCGGCGCCAGCTCATAGAGCGAAGAGCACACAAGACTGGCTGGCGGCGTGTGAAATCGACTTAAACCGGCACGAAGACTGGCCCTCCTCCAGTCCAGATTTGAATCCGTTAGATTACAAGATATGGCAACACTTGTAGGAAAAGGCGTGCTCAAAGCCTCATCCCAATTTGGAGTCACTCAAGACATCTTTGATTAAGGCAGCCGCCGATATTGACATGGACCTCGTTCGTGCTGCGATAGACGACTGGCCGCGCAGATTGAAGAATATTCAAAATCACGGAGGTCATTTTGAATAAACTTTAGTGTCATAAGAATCTATGTTTTGTTAAGTTCATTTTGGTATATAAATGGTTACATAATGAATAAACTTGTTTATATATATATATATATATATATATATATATATATATATATATATATATATATATATATATATATATATATATCGTATCGATATTTTTTAACCAGCATCGATTTATCCATCCATCTATTACAGCCTATAAAAGTCCACTGCTGAACATAGGCCACTCCCATAGATTGTCTCATAAGAGAGTTTTGGTATCGTTGCCACGCTTGGCAGGCGGATTGACAGCCGCAGTTTTTTTTATTATTTTGAGTTGTTACCAGGAAGACGCTGCCCCATCACTCGAGTATAATTTCGCCTTCAGGTCGGTACGATACGGCTTACACAGCGCTCGGTGCGCATAGCACTACTCTCCCTAGACGTCAAGTTGAGTGGGCCTGATGGGAGTTCCTCCCATTGTGCTGAAGACGTGTGTTCACTATTTGGTACCGGTCGTAACGTGTCTTTTCTAAAACTCTTTTTCCGTAGGCGTAATCCCGAACTCAAAGAAGACAGCTTTAGTAGAAAATCAACCGCTCAGACATATCCGACTTGTTCTCCAAAATAATAAAAACAATTGTGAACGGCCAGCTCATGAGTTTGAGGATTACCAACTGAAAAGTGACCGCCAGTACGATTTCCGTCGGGGTTGCTCAGCTGGTCATCTTCTGTCTAATCTCATGAATCGGCGGAGGCATAGAGGGAGACCCTGGCCGTTAGTTTGAACATAGCGAATGCCTTCGATCGGGTTTGGAACAAGCGCTTCTTTCGAAGCTCCCTTCCTATGGGCTTTCCGAGAATTTGTGCAACTGGATCAGCAGTTTTCTTGCAGATTGGAGCAACAAAAACGTAGTAGAAGGTGCATGCTCCATTTACAAGCCTATTTATGCTGGTGTTCCACAAGGCTACGTGCTATCACCTACGCTGTTTCTTCTGTTTATCAATAATATGTTGCAAACCAGTAACGTGCACTGGTGAAAATTTTATACACCGGCTGTGCTTATATTGCTCGGGAAAACGTCGCCGAGTACCGGAATAAACTTGTGTCTGAAGTCGAGTCTTTGCCAGATAAGGTCTCGGATTGGGGCGACCAAATCTAATTAAGTTCAATGCCCCAAAGACACAAGTTTGCGCGTTTATCACTAAAAAGAACCCCTTTGTCGTAACTTCTAAATTTCAGGCACTTCTTACCTCAGCCAGTATCGGAATCTTTGGCGTTGACATATTGAATAACGTGCATTTTCGTGGTCACATGGAAGG